ATATAAGAGATTATATTCTCTTGGAAAACATCACAATTAAAATCAATTATAAATCCCTTAAAGACCTAATTTTGGTAATTATAATCAATTATAATTGTCAAAATTCATCATAATAATCCGTTAAAATCGATTATTTACGCCTAACTTGGATGAGGGCATCACCTTTTTCTTGTTTATAGCTCATGGATAGGTGCACAATATGGTGTCTTTATGTTTGTGAATTACATAGACAAATTTTTAAAATAGTTCACAATTTGTCAGAACAATTAAAGAGATTGAAAGACCAAAATAAGTATAAAGAGAGCATTCTTAATGCTGAGTTCGCCTACACTTCACAAAGTACACAGTTTGTGTAAAGCGTAACTTAAATTAAGTTGCCTCGCAATTGATTCTAGTTCAAAAGATTACTAATTTCAAGCAGCAGGTGAGTTTTTTGAATTTTAACATTAATTTTCATATGGCAAAAAAACTTCGAAAAGGACTAGTGAATTATTCGAAACATGTTTTGAGAAAAATAAGCCATTATATTATAAGCCGAAAGGATATATGCCGTCAATTATTCAGAAAATAGAATCTATTAAGCATCCTTGATTACTGGCTTTCACTCTGATTACGCAGAAGCTGGCCGTTTTTTGGTTTCAGCTGTCAGGAAAAAAAACAAAGATTTGAGAATTACTTTTCGATATTATAAGTGAATATTTTAAATTGAACAAGTATTTCAAAACAAACAATACCAAATTCAAACTCACCTCAATAATTCAAACATAGTCATAGATTTGTCATTCATATCTTAACGAAACAGACTACAAGATTCCAAATTATATATTTGTTTTTACATAGATTTCGGGAAAGCAATTTTTAAAAGCGTGTGATATTTGTTGGTGTTTAACTGATTTTTGATTAATATGCAAATCTGAGTAGACGTAATACAAATGTTTAACTTTTTTTTCTGTACACAATTTCAGAAAAAATTTGCACGCTCAAGAATAAGTGCTGTTAGCTGAGAAAAAAGCTGACTGCTGCTGACTAATTTTTAAACTGCTGACTACTTCAAACGCTGACCACTGAAAATAGCTCAGCAGAAAAATTGATGAGTAACTAGAAAATTACTCAAATTTGGCTTTTTAGTAGCTTGCATAACTCCCCTGATTTTTTGTGTTAGCAATTTTAAATAATTTAAGCTTCTTCTGATTAGGAAAAAAATTAAGGTTAGACTGTTTAGTAGCTGTTTAGTAGCTATCCCGGAATTTTTTAGGGCTATTTACTGTTTAGTAGCTATCCTTTAGTGTTTAGTAGCTATCCCGGAATTTTAAAAAAAGTTTAACGCGTTTGACTCCTGCGACACATTAAGTATGAGTTTTTTTTTGTAATGAAAAGGAGAAGAAAAAACGTAGTAGAAGCAGACATCGAAGAAAGATACAAATGTAAGGATTAAGCAGAATAAAAACAGAGGATTCCAAAATTCCAAAAAACCAAAAACTGTTCGAAGAAAAATCAAACAAGCGAGAAGTCAATTAGATTTTTTCTCAAACATAAAAAATTTTCTGTGCATTGTTACACAAGGAAGCTTTTCAAAATTTTGTGGACTTGTTTGATAAACAACTTTTGTTGATACTTTTTGAATAAAAAAGTGACAAAAAGTTTGATCTAGTCTATTCGCCCAATGAGCTAATGCTTGAACTTGAAATCATGGTTAATATTATAGATTTTGAGCTGCAAAAAATCTACTTAGCTGCGCTTGAAATTCCTCAAAAGTGCTTTCAAGAATCTGAATGCTTTCAGGAATCTGTCTTCCAAAAGTTCGCCAAAAAGTTATTCTAGAAAAATTGTATGCCATTGCAGTCAAGCTGAGCAAACCATCTAGTTTGTTGGCCTCTTTAAACTCTGTTGCTATTATGGCCGGTTTTTTATTTTGACTTCCTCAAGTACAGAGCCGATGTCAACTCGATCGAGGATGTTTTCTTTTTGTTATATTCTCATAATAGACTGTGCACCACTCTAAACCCAGGCCCTGCATCGGATCGATCATGTTTTCTGTATCAGAGATTCCCCTCAGATCTACAAAAACTGATGTTAAACCGATCTACAATCTTCAAAACCCTCCTTTCTTTGACTTTCGTCAAATTAGAAAACGATTAACTGTAGGGTTTTTCAGAGATTCAGAAACGGAGTCTCTTCTTTTTTTTTCTGGTTTATTTACCATTTCAGGTGAGGATGATTTTTTTGGTTTCTGAGTTACCTCAAATTCAGATGTTAAAGTTTTTCTTAATTTCGTATCTCCTTCGGTTTTCATAAAAATGATGAGAGAATTATTCAATTTTAACTCAACTTTTCATTGCGGTTTTAGATTTTCAGAAAATTTTTGAAGCTGACAAGCACAAAAAAGCTCAAAACCGAAGCCATTCACGACCTTTTAAGATAAGAAAAAAATCATTGAATACAATCACAAAACTTTTCCGAATGTGAAAAGTTCAAAGGCTACTTTTATAAATTCCATTTTCTCCCAGTGGTGAAAGGCTTGAGGAATAAAAAACTGAGAATACCTAGTTTACAAGTCAGACGCAGGTTTTTCTCCTACTAGAATTATCAAAATTGCACCAAGTCTTTAAGGCAGAAATAGAACTAAGGCTAAAAATATCCGAAGGGTAGATTTTTTAAATTTCAGTTAACTTAAAGCTAAATGGTTAAGGCAGGTTATCTTACATCACGTATCGGGTTGTGAATAGTTGAATAGATAAGTGCATTTAGTTATAGGGGATAAGATTAAATGAATGATGGCAAATAAATAAAAAATTGCAGCATGAAAAACCGTTGCATTCTAAGGACAAACTGAACGAAGATTGAGAACAAAAAAATTTTGGATTGAATTTGACTAAAAACATAATAATGTAGATATGTAGTTAAAAAGTAGAAGATATATGGGTGAGATTGCTTCCGCAGAAAGAGGATTGATGTTAAAGTTGAGCGAAAAATTTTCAACTTTCTGCTCAAATTTCAGTTTTGCGATTTCAATTCCGAGAAGAGTTTCTTGGAAGATGCTTCGACTTGACAAAAAAGGTTTGAGTCGACATCTGAGTCAAGAATCTCCTTTAGAAAAGATTGTGGCAGTGATGTCAAAATTATCTGAACATCTTCGTCCATTACTTTCTTTTTCTTTTCGGAAATATCTCTTTCAAGCTTGAAGAAGTAAAGCAGCTCGTTTTTGCAATTAGTAATTTCGGTATGACTCCTCAATTTCTTGTATGTTGTCAATAATTGTGTCTTTCCAGGTATTCTTTGATTGATTCATCTGAAAGCAACTATCGTGCCATTCGACTAGAATGCGGTCTGCTTTAATTCAAAACAAAACAGTTTCTTGAAATTGAAGATAAACGACGTTATTTGCGTTTTGAACTATTTTAGGAAGGGCACAAACTCAATAAAATTTGCAGGACAAGTAACAATTTTTTTCTCGCAATAACTGAGAAGCGCGAAAATCAGAAAGACGGTTTTGGCTTGTCAGAAAAAGACGAGACATTGCATAGACGAGTTAAAGTACGACGGTTTTGGCTTGTCAGAAAAAGACGAGACATTTGCGTTTTGAACTAATTTAGGAAGGGCACTTTGGAGATTACAAAGTTTTTTCAAAAATTCAATAAAATTTGCAGGACAAGTAACATTTTTTTCTCGCAATAACTGAGAAGCGCGAAAATCAGAAAGACGGTTTTGGCTTGTCAGAAAAAGACGAGACAATGAATGGACGAGTTAAAGTACGACGGTTTTGGCTAGTCAGAAAAAGACGAGACATTTGCGTTTTGAACTAATTTAGGAAGGGCACTTTGGAGATTACAAAGTCTTTTCAAAAATTCAATAAAATTTGCAGGACAAGTAACAATTGTTTCTC